AACTACTATAGACTTTTACCGTTGACCAGATCAGTGGAAGTCCAAGCCCATCACTGCTGGTGGTTTTTCAATGGCCTTTGTGAAATGAATTGGTGAGTCTCAGACAAGTTCCCAGGGTACAAGGGTCCATGTCACAAAAGTCACCTCCACAAATTGGCACTGATCAGTCTCCCTGCTGGTGGTGTCATTACAGCCTAAGGTCTGGACAGGCCCCAAGACTGAATTCCTCTCTTGCTCTAAGCAAGTGGCTGAGGTTGTATTCAATAGTTATTTTATTAAACTGAATCAGGGACTTGTTAGGTGGAGGCCAGGCTGAGCATGTTCTTAGGGAGGGTCATTCCACAAATCCAGTTCTTGCCTCTTCTGCACTTGAATTTTGTAATTATGGTGTGTGTGTAAAAAAACAAACAAAAAAAAAACCACTAAGATGATTTTAATGTGCTTTCCAGAAAAATAACCTGTAAGTTTAAATAAGACAAAAGTTTGTGTGTGTGGATGGATGTTTAATGCTGTATGTGAGTGTGTGTGAATTTGATTAGCAATACATGTTGCATGTTTGTGTTTACATGAGGATGAGTGTGTTTGCAGTGCATGTTGTGTGAGTCTGTCTCTATATGTGCATGTATCTGCATATGTGTTTCACACATATTCACATGTGGATAACTGGCTAGACAGCAGTACTGCAGAAAGGGATCTAGGGGTTATAGTGACTCACAAATGGACTGAGAGTCAACAGTGTGATGCAGCTGGAAAAAGGCAAATGTCATTCTGGTGTGTATTACCGGGAGTGCTGTACAAAAGACGTGGGACGTAATAGTTCTGTTATATTCGGCACTGGTGAGGCCTCAGCTGGAGTACTGTGTCCAGTCTTGAGCACCACACTTTAAGAAAGATGCGAACAAACTGGATTCCAGAGAAGAGCAACAAGAATGATAAAAGTTGTGAAAAAAACATGACATATTAGGAAAGGTTGAAAACATACCTAATTCTTAGTCTTGAGAAGAGAAGGCAGAGTGGGGACCTGATAATAGTCTTCAAATATGTTAAGGGATGTTATAAATGCATCCGATGAAGTGAGCTGTAGCTCATGAAAGCTTATGCTCAAATAAATTGGTTAGTCTCTAAGGTGCCACAAGTACTCCTTTTCTTTTTATAAAGAGGACAGTGATCAATTTTTTTCTCCAAGTCCTCTGAGGGCAGGTCAAGAAGTAATAGGCTTAGTTTGTAGCAAGGGAGATTTAAGTTGGATATTAGCAAAATCTTTCTAACTATAAGGATAGTTAATACTGGAACAGGTTACCTAGGTATGTTGTCATTGGAGGTTTTTAAGAACCGGTTAGACAAACACCTGTCAGCAATGGTCTAGATTTACTTAATCCTGCCTCAGCATAGGTGGTTTGTGTAGATGACCTCTGGAGGTCCCTTCCAGCCCTACATTTCTATGATTCTGTGTCTGTGTTTGTGTTCAGTACGTGTATGTGACATGCGGATAAGTGCGTGTTGAATGCATGTGCGAGTTTGGCGCGTGTGTGTGTGTTTAAAAGTGTTTGTGAATAAGTGTGTGTAACTAGATGTTGCTACATGTATGGGTACATATGTGGTGGTGTATCTGAGTGTGTATGACAAAGAACTCATGTTTTCATGTGGCTGAGGGTATATTTGCTTTGTGTGTGTACATATGCACCTTTTGTATGTGAGTACCTGCTGTTAGGAAAGTGCGTGTGTGAACATGTGGATTGTTAGCTGCATGTGTGAACTGTTCCATATGTATGTTTGTTTGTATGTAGAAGCTTGTGTGTGTGTGTGTGTGTACAGAATACATCTACGAAAGAGCATGTGTAGCACAATGTGTGCGAGCAGCCTGCTTATATGTTTGTGCATATGTCTGAGCTTGTCCTTGTTCTGTATGTTTGCACACACACATTGGCATAAGCCTGTATATGTTTTGAAGGCCTCTTTAAACTGTGCACTGTCAAGTCAAAGACATGCTGCTGCCAGAGGCTATGAGTGTCTCCTCCTCCCCAGAGCTTCCTGTCTCCTGTGCTGTGGGATTGCAGGAGAAATGTACAGGCTCCCCGGCACTGCATAGTAGAGTGTATCTGCTACAGAGGGAGCCAATGTCACCACCTTCACTGGAGGACAGATAGCTCAGTGTCAGGACACTGGGGTGAGCTTATGGAGTCAGAGAAGCAACAAGCCACCCTGGCTCGCCCCCCTTCAGAGAAGTGTTGCTGTTCCCTAACTCCCCCAACTCCAGCCGAGTAGCCCTCTCTGATTTCAGTTACTTGAAGAATCAGGTCCCTGGACTTTAACTCTCTGCAGTTTTCAGATCTGGGCCTTCTCTTCCTACTGCACAGTCATCTCCGCAGAAAATGTGTGTAGGAGAGCTAAGCCCAGGGGAAGCCAGGGTCAAAGGTTCCTCCTTCCACCCTCCCCACCCTCTCGCTTGCCCAGCTCCCTCCACATGCTAATGAAATGCATCTGATGCCATCAGATAAAGGTTTTCTCCTCCCTGACAGGGAAGGACACGCTGACAAATGGGCCTTTTCTGCTGTATTTTGAGGGCCTGAATTAATCCCATCCTTCAGACTGCCCTTTAATGACAGAGCTCTATCATTCTGGATGGTTGCTGCTGTCACCCAGCAACTGCCACTGTCTCTTCCACTTGGTCTCTCTCTGCCTTGAGTGCCTCTTTCTGTTCACACCTCTTCCTGCCTTCTTGATGTCTTTGTCTCTCTGTCCCTCTCTTAGCCCTGGTCTACACTAGGACTTTAGGTCGAATTTAGCAGCGTTAAATCGATTTAAACCTGCACCCGTCCACACAATGAAGCCCTTTATTTCGACTTAAAGGGCTCTTAAAATCGATTTCCTTACTCCACCCCTGACAAGTGGATTAGCGCTTAAATCGACGTTGCCGGCTCGAATTTGGGGTACTGTGGACACAATTCGATGGTATTGGCCTCCGGGAGCTATCCCAGAGTGCTCCATTCTGACCGCTCTGGACAGCGCTCTCAACTCAGATGCACTGGCCAGGTAGACGGGAAAAGAACCGCGAACTTTTGAATCTCATTTCCTGTTTGGCCAGCGTGGCAAGCTGCAGGTGACCATGCAGAGCTCATCAGCACAGGTGACCATGATGGAGTCCCAGAATCGCAAAAGAGCTCCAGCATGGACTGAACGGGAGGTACGGGATCTGATCGCTGTTTGGGGAGAGGAATCCGTGCTATCAGAACTCCGTTCCAGTTTTCGAAATGCCAAAACCTTTCTGAAAATCTCCCAGGGCATGAAGGACAGAGGCCATAACAGGGACCCGAAGCAGTGCCGCGTGAAACTGAAGGAGCTGAGGCAAGCCTACCAGAAAACCAGAGAGGCGAACAGCCGCTCTGGGTCAGAGCCCCAAACATGCCGCTTCTATGATGAGCTGCATGCCATTTTAGGGGGTTCAGCCACCACTACCCCAGCCGTGTTGTTTGACTCCTTCAATGGAGATGGAGGCAATACGGAAGTAGGTTTTGGGGATGAAGAAGATAATGATGATGAGGAGGTTGTAGATAGCTCACAGCAAGCAAGTGGAGAAACCGGTTTTCCCGACAGCCAGGAACTGTTTCTCACCCTGGACCTGGAGCCAGTACCCCCCGAACCCACCCAAGGCTGCCTCCTGGACCCAGCAGGCAGAGAAGGGACCTCTGGTGAGTGTACCTTTTAAAATGCTATACATGGTTTAAAAGCAAGCATGTGAAAGGATTACTTTGCCCTGGCATTTGCGGTTCTCCTAGATGTAGTCCTAAACCCTTTGCAAAAGGTTTCTGGGGAGGGCAGCCTTATTTCGTCCTTCATGGTAGGACACTTTACCACTCCAGGCCAGTAACACGTACTCGGGAATCACTGTAGAACAAAGCATTGCAGTGTATGTTTGCTGGCATTCAACCAAAATCTGTTCTTTATCTCTCTGTGTTATCCTCAGGAGAGTGAGATATAATTCATGGTCACCTGGTTGAAATAGAGTGCTTTTCTTCAGGGGACACTCAGAGGAGCCCATTCCTGCTGGGCTGTTTGCCTGTGGCTAAACAGAAATGTTCCCCGCTGTTAGCCACAGGGAGGGGAGAAGGTTGAGGGGGTAGTCACGCGGTGGGAGGAGGCAAAATGCGACCTTGTAACGAAAGCACATGTGCTATGTATGTAATGTTAACAGCAAGGTTTACCCTGAAAGAGTGTAGCGACTGTTTTATAAAATGTGTCTTTTTAAATACCGCTGTCCCTTTTTTTTTCTCCACCAGCTGCATGTGTTTCAATGATCACAGGATCTTCTCCTTCCCAGAGGCTAGTGAAGATTAGAAAGAAAAAAACGCACTCGCGATGAAATGTTCTCCGAGCTCATGCTGTCCTCCCACACTGACAGAGCACAGACGAATGCGTGGAGGCAAATAATGTCAGAGTGCAGGAAAGCACAAAATGACCGGGAGGAGAGGTGGCGGGCTGAAGAGAGTAAGTGGCGGGCTGAAGAGAGTAAGTGGCGGGCTGAAGACAGGGCTGAAGCTCAAATGTGGCGGCAGCGTGATGAGAGGAGGCAGGATTCAATGCTGAGGCTTCTGCAGGACCAAACCAGTATGCTCCAGTGTATGGTTGAGCTGCAGCAAAGGCAGCTGGAGCACAGACTGCCACTGCTGCCCCTCTGTAACCAACCGCCCTCCTCCCCAAGTTCCATAGTCTCCACACCCAGACGCCCAAGAACGCGGTGGGGGGGCCTCCGGCCAACCAGCCACTCCACCACAGAGGATTGCCCAAAAAAAAGAAGGCTGTCATTCAATAAATTTTAAAGTTGTAAACTTTTAAAGTGCTGTGCTTAAAGTGCTGTGTGGCATTTTCCTTCCCTCCTCCACCACCCCTCCTGGGATACCTTGGTAGTCATCCCCCTATTTGTGTGATGAATGAATAACGAATGCATGACTGTGAAGCAGCAATGACTTTATTGCCTCTGCAAGCAATGATTAAAGGGAGGAGGGGAGGGTGGTTAGCTTACAGGGAAGTAGAGTGAACCAAGGGGCGGGGGGTTTCATCAAGGAGAAACAAACAGAACTTTCACACCGTAGCCTGGCCAGTCATGAAACTGGTTTTCAAAGCTTCTCTGATGCGTACCGCGCCCTCCTGTGCTCTTCTAACCGCCCTGGTGTCTGGCTGCGCGTAACCAGCAGCTAGGCGATTTGCCTCAACCTCCCACCCCCGCCATAAACGTCTCCCCCTTACTCTCACAGATATTGTGGAGCACACAGCAAGCAGTAATAACAGTGGGAATATTGGTTTCGCTGAGGTCTAAGCGAGTCAGTAAACTGCGCCAGCGCGCCTTTAAACGTCCAAATGCACATTCTACCACCATTCTGCACTTGCTCAGCCTATAGTTGAACAGCTCCTGACTACTGTCCAGGCTGCCTGTGTACGGCTTCATGAGCCATGGCATTAAGGGGTAGGCTGGGTCCCCAAGGATACATATAGGCATTTCAACATCCCCAACAGTTATTTTCTGGTCTGGGAATAAAGTCCCTTCCTGCAGCTTTTGAAACAGACCAGAGTTCCTGAAGATGCGAGCATCATGCACCTTTCCCGGCCATCCCACGTTGATGTTGGTGAAACGTCCCTTGTGATCCACCAGAGCTTGCAGCACTATCGAAAAGTACCCCTTGCGGTTTATGTACTCGGCGGCTTGGTGCTCCGGTGCCAAGATAGGGATATGGGTTCCGTCTATAGCCCCACCACAGTTAGGGAATCCCATTGCAGCAAAGCCATCCACTATGACCTGCACATTTCCCAGGGTCACTACCCTTGATATCAGCAGATCTTTGATTGCGTGGGCTACTTGCATCACAGCAGCCCCCACAGTAGATTTGCCCACTCCAAATTGATTCCCAACTGACCGGTAGCTGTCTGGCGTTGCAAGCTTCCACAGGGCTATCGCCACTCGCTTCTCAACTGTGAGGGCTGCTCTCATCTTGGTATTCATGCGCTTCAGGGCAGGGGAAAGCAAGTCACAAAGTTCCATGAAAGTGCCCTTACGCATGCGAAAGTTTCGCAGCCACTGGGAATCGTCCCAGACCCGCAACACTATGCGGTCCCACCAGTCTGTGCTTGTTTCCCGAGCCCAGAATCGGCGTTCCACAGCATGAACCTGCCCCATTAGCACCATGATGCATGCATTGTCAGGGCCCATGCTTTCAGAGAAATCTGTGTCCATGTCCTGATCACTCACGGGACCGCGCTGATGTCGCCTCCTCGCCCGGTATCGCGTTGCCATGTTCTGGTGCTGCATATACTGCTGGATAATGCGTGTGGTGGTTAATGTGCTCCTAATTGCCAAAGTGAGCTGAGCGGCCTCCATGCTTGCCTTGGTATGGCGTCCGCACAGAAAAAAGGCGCGGAACGATTGTCTGCCGTTGCTCTGACGGAGGGAGGGGCGACTGACGACACGGCTTACAGGGTTGGTTTCAGGGAGCTAAAATCAACAAAGGGTGTGCCTGTACATCAAGGAGTATTTCAGGCAGGACTGCATGGAGGGTTCCAATAAGAAATGGTGCACCTAAGTTATCGTTGTTATTGGAACAAGGAGGTTAGCCTGGCCTCTGATTGATACATGGCTAGATTTACCTCGCTGCACCTTCTCTGTGAGTGACTGCAGTGTGATCTAGACAGGGGAGGAGGCAAATGAGTACAAAACAAATCTGATCTATTTCTTGTTCTGACCCACTCCATCTATCTTTTACATCTTTGGCTGGCAGCAGACGGTGCAGAAGGACTGCATGCCATCCACATCTCATGGCTGCTCGGCAGAAGATGGTACAGTACGACTGCTAGCCATCTTCATCTCTTGCCTGCCTGGCATAAGATGGTACAATACGACTGCTAGCAATCCTCATCTCTTGCCTGCCTGGCAGAAGATGGTACAGTACGACTGCTAGCAGTCCGTATCGCCTGCCCGCTCACCATAAGACGGTTCAATAGGACTGACTGCAGGACTAAAGAGAATGACCTGGTCAAGTCACTCCAAATTTAGTCCCTGCGCCCATGTCTGCCCAGGCGCTCCCAGCCGACGTGGCCAGGAGCACCTCGGACACGACGAGGACGACTACCAGTCGTATTGCACCGTCTGCTGCCAGAAGGCAATGGGTTGCTGCTACTGTGCAGCAAAGCCGTACCGCGTCTGCCAGCACCCAGGAGACATAGGGTGACGGTTACCTGAGCTGGCTCCATGCTTGCTGTGGTATGGCGTCTGCACAGGTAACTCAGGAAAAAAGGCGCGAAATGATTGTCTGCCCTTGCTTTCATGGAGGGAGGGAGGGAACGGGGGCCTGACGACACGTACCCAGAACCACCCGCGACAATGTTTTAGCCCCATCAGGCACTGGGATCTCAACCCAGAATTCCAATGGGCAGCGGAGACTGCGGGAACTGTGGGATAGCTACCCACAGTGCAACGCTCCGGAAGTCGACGCTTGCCTCGGTACTGTGGAAGCGCTCCGCCGAGTTAATGCACTTAGAGCATTTTCTGTGGGGACACACACACTCGAATATATAAAACCGATTTCTAAAAAACCGACTTCTATAAATTCGACCTAATTTCGTAGTGTAGACATACCCTTAGTGTCTCCTCTTAGATTCATACATATTAAGGTCAGAAGGGACCATTATGATCATCTAGTCTGACCTCCTGCACAACGCAGGCCACAGAATCTCACCCACCCTCTCCTGCGAAAAACCTCACCTATGTCTGAGCTATTGAAGTCATCAGATCGTGGTTTAAAGACTTCAAGGAGCAAAGAATCCTCCAGCAAGTGACCTGTGCCCCATGCTACACAGGAAGGCGAAAAACCTCCAGGGCCTCTTCCAATCTGCCCTGGAGGAAAATTCCTTCCCGACCCCAAATATGGCGATCAGCTAAACCCTGAGCATATGGGCAAGATTCACCAGCCAGATACCAGCAAAGAATTCTCTGTAGTAACTCAGATCCCACCCCATCTAACATCCCATCACAGGCCATTGGGCCTATTTACCATGAATATTTAAAGATCAATTAATTGTGTCTTCTTTTGTGTCTGCCTTGTTCTTTCTCCACATCCCGTTCTCTCCCTCTCTCTGTTCCTTTTTGCCTTTCCCTCTCTCATAGAATATCAGGGTTGGAAGGGACCTCAGGAGGTCATCTAGTCCAACCCCCTGCTCAAAGCAGGACCAATCCCCAACTAAATCATCCCAGCCAGGGCTTTGTCAAGCCTGACCTTAAAAACTTCTAACGAAGGAGATTTCACCACCTCCTTAGGTAACGCATATCTCTATATATCTCTGCCCTGGCTCAGTAAATTTAATAAGGTATCTGATGTATTTTGCCCCTTTTTCTGTTGGTGAATTTTTCAGCCACGAGATTGCTGATTTGTCTGGAAGTCTTTCCTGAACAATTTCTGCAAATAATCATTCTCAATCTGCAGCTGGTGTGAGAGCAATTCCTTCCAAGTATTGGCTTCCTGAGCTGTTTTGACTGGACGTGTAGGTTACACGGCATGTTTCTGTTCCCTGGCTGGATTAAAGTAACTCTTAGGATCAGGTTTTTGGTGTGAATACTCGTGATTACAACTTCAAAATTCACTTTTCAATAATGTTCTGCAATATCCACTTAAAATGTTTTGTTTCCACAAATGTTCTTGCCTGGAACCTCATTCACTGATGAGAAAATGAACACAAACAGGATGTGAACACTGTCTCTGAATGCATCATTTATTCAAAACAAATATTCATGGACATATGTTTGCAATGTTCACCCAATTCTAACCTCAGCCTTGCAAGATTCTATTCCACTCAGATTAATCTTAGATTGTGAACTCCTTTTGTTCTGTCTTTGTACAGCACCTAGCACAATGGGACCCTGGTCCTTGAGTAGGGCTCCTAGGTCCAACCGTAACACAAATAATAAACAATACTTAAGGCCCTACTTGAATCACAGCATGATTGTCCAAAAATTGCAGCTGAGTTGGGAGAAGCCATGGAAAATCATGGAAAAGTAATAATGGACCTTATTACTGCAGATACTTTCCCACTATTTTCTGCCATCAGCTGCCCTGGGCGCTCACTGTCAAATTGCAGCGGAAGCCTAATATTGCAGGATCCACAATATCGCAAATGAAGTAGGGCCTTAACAATACTACTACAAATAAACATAGACCTGTTACCGGGGGTGGATACTACTTGAAAACTTTTTGACAGGTGAGTAATGTCTCATTAGTTTTTCCTCTGTCACTCTATTATGATCAGGGCAGGTGAGTAGATTTTGTGCTTTGGCTGGTAAATTTTCATGATGGTTTTACACGGCTGGTTTCTCTCTCTCCCAGCCCCCCTTGGCTAATTTCTCAACCTGCTTACATCAGGTCTGAATTTAGCTCTTTTTGTGAGTGAGACTCTCCCTTTTACTTCCCTCTTTTTCCCACTCTGAGTTACTTAATAAATAGCAAGACAGGACTATTTAGCGTGTGCTCAGTCTGTAGATGAGGACACCCAGTAGCTATCGGGCATCTTTCAGTGTAATCCGATGCCCTTTAGATCCAAGGGCACTAATGGGATCACCACAAATGTATTGTGCTGGGAAGGGTATATCTGTCTCTGTAGGGTCGCATGATCCTGCGTGAAGCTTGAGGGGGTTTTCCCCTTAGCCTCTAGGTTTAGGTCCTGCTGTATTACTCGGTGGGAGGGTCCAGTCACCTATAGTGCCACACGCATGGGGCCAGGTGCAGCACAGCTGGAGTTGACTGCCTCCCTCTTGCCTTGCAGAGCCCTACAGCCCAGCGGTGTGGGTCATGATGTTCGTGATGTGTCTCACTGTGGTTGCCATCACTGTCTTCATGTTTGAATATTTCAGTCCCGTTGGCTACAACCAGAATCTAACCAGCGGAAAAAGTAAGTTGCTTAAAGGAACTATGAGCAAATGTTGTGCAATGGGATGGTGCCCTTTGTCACAAGCACCCCTCCCCTCCCCTTTGCCCTTGATGAGCCCTGCTTTATGAGAGTGAAGGCACCATAATAATTCCATGGGAACGGGTCTGGATTGTTACAGCTCATCCCAGGGTCATGTTTCCAGCCATATCCGTGGATTAAAGTGAGCAGGGTGTGTGGAAACGGATTCCCAGCCTCTTTCAGCAGAGCTTCAGCCTTTGCAAAGCAGACCCCAACCTCCATCAGCAGGTCCTCAACCACTCCCCAGCCTCTGTTATTGGGGGAGTCTTCCTTTCCTCAGCAGGGCCTCTTTGCCTAGCACCAGGTACCAAAATGGTGCCTCCAGTGTCTTCCACTTCAACATCAACATGGGGAACTGAAAAGCCATAAAATACCCCTCCCCCTAACTGTGCACATGCTTCCATCCCCTCCCCGATTGCTCTGCAATACAGGATGCCAGCTGGAGATTCCTCGGGCCACTTCAAGTTGACATGGGATTTTTGCCAATGCCCATTGTGGATATAGGTTCATAAATTCCAAGGCCAGAAGGGTCCATTGTGACCATCTAGTGAATCCAATTTCTTCCAGACCTGCGGTGGCTGTCACCAGCAGGACCAATCAGCCTATGACTATGCTGTCTGCTCTAGCTAAGAGCTCCCACATCCGAGCTAGCTGGGGAGATTTTTCTCACATTTGTTTTGAGGAGCTGTCAGCCCCAGGCCAGGGTACCATCTTTGCCCTTGATGAATGTTCGTTAAAGCATATCCATCCTGACAGGTGCATAATGAAAATGCTTCTTGAAGCAGCATCAATGACTCCCCTGTGCACTCCAGGACCAAATCTCTCCCTGCTCTAGTTTCAGAGACCCTCAACAGTTTCTCAGTGTCGACCTTGGAGGGTTTGCCGTTCAGTCAGGGATCAGACACTGGGAGGAAAGAAGAGAGTCAGAAGGAAGCTGGTATCTACCAGGAGAGAATAGCCTAGAGCCCACAGTAAAAATACACAATCATTTGGAAGATGAAAGCTAAAAATAGAACAAAGGCTCCAGCAGAACTCAGCCAGCCAGAACCCTGCCGCTCCAATCCTCTCACCAGAGAGCGCTGGTTTGGTCTTGAATCTCGTGCCTCATTTCTCATTTTGGCTCCTTCTTTCCCCCAGTTTTAATTTTTTGGTACATTGTTGGGAGGTGGTAGGGAAGCAAAATGCATTTCCATTCCACTCTCTCTAGCAACCATGCCGCTATTTCTGAAGGTGAAGTCAGAAAAGCTGCTATGTAATAGGTCTCTGTCTCTGTGCAGAACGCCAGTCTTGGAGCCTCACCAGAAATAGGTCTGGCAGATTTCCTTCACAGCCCAGCCAGAACCTGCCTAGGCCACATACCCTGTCCTGGCAAGATTCTTCTCTCTTTCTTACCAGGACTTTGGAAGAAAACAAGCACCAAAGAATCTCTACCAGGTTTTCTATAAGACTCAGTGCCTGGATGCTGCAAGGACTGGTGCTATAGCAATATCTACAACAGAT